AAAAGCTCCCTAGCTGTTCCTTTCAGTCCCTAGCCATTCCTCTCTCTTAGAGGATCAAATAATATGTCTTACAAAAGCTATTCGGCACCCCCAAAAGTAGTTTGTTTTACCCGGGGGCTTAAGAGGGCCCTCACCCCTTTGTGATTGTTAAAATAAGATCCAGCTATCACGCTGTCACCTTCTCTGTACGGAACGCACTATCTTTTCCCCTTGTCTCAGGCGGCAGAATGTCTTTGGCAGCCCTGCCTTCCACATTGGCCGCCTGAATTAGGACCACGCTCTCAGTAAGCGGAGCTGCTGCGTGGGGCCGTAAGCGGGTTGGGGCATTCAGGGAACTGCAGTCCAGAAAAGTAACTTTTCTGTGCTCTAACAAGGGAACAGGCTCTGCCAAGCTACAAGTGTAGGATACTTTGACATCCAAAGATATAGGCAGATGGAGGAAAGATCCTTCCGTGCGCCGTTTGAGAGCTTGATAAAGTCCTTCATGAACACTGTAGAATTTGCTGCTATGAGACAGAGCAATAGCAATTAGCTTATTTGTCTTAAGGAAGAGCAATTAGGTATTTGAGTCGATTCATGGCTATGCATTGGAGTAGACCAAGTCAATTTATGACTATACAGAAGTTTAGAGCAGAGCTTGGAAAGTTTACTCCTTTGCACTACAACCCCCAGAATTTCCCAGCCACCATAGCCACTTCTCATTTCACTCTGAGATGGGCTGTAAGAGACACCTCTGCTCAAAAGGTTCTCTACTCCACAATTCTGGTGTGTGACTTGCAAGATAGGGACCTATGAGTTGATGGCAAAGGAGTGTGGCTGAACTGAAAGGCAAAATAAAGTAAGAAGACAGGCTGTGCTCTCAATCTAAGAACATCCAAAGATCCCAAAGCAGAGCCGTGGAGTGGCGACTGGGGCTTTGACCCAGGGCACTGAAATGTCGAGGGTGCACATGTTTGCTGCCCAAAGAACACAATTATCCACAGTTTCCCAAAACAGAATTGTGGAAAGCTGTTGCTGTGGTTGCTGAGAGTTGCAGTCTTGCTTCCTGTTAGGCTTTATAGAGGTGCCTCCCAAAGAACTATGTCTCCAAGAAAGCACTGCAGCAAATAACCTTAGGTTCTAGTGCGATGGGATTTGAAAGAAACCCTCCTTCCTATCCATGTCTTCCATCTAATACATGGTCTTAGACACTTCTCTCTTGAAAACATTTCTGCTGTGTACACTGCAAGCCAAGTCGTATTCTTCAGGATTTCAGTTGCTTTCCCCCCCCTCCCTTTACAGTCCCATAACCTTGCAAAATAAAAAGGGCATAAAAAGGCATAGGGGATGCTATGATTCTATGCTGTGATTCTGTTTAAGAGAACAACGGGAAGCAAAGACATACATTTGAGTTTTAGCCTCAAACTCTGCCATGCTGCTAAGCCTTCCCACCTGAGCAGTGAGGCAGGGAGCCACTCCAACGCCCATCAAGTTGGCACATGCGGGTGGAATTGCCAACCAGGCTTCTCCCTTCCAAGCAGCTGTAACGCACCACGGAGCCGACGGTGTAGACGTCACCCGAGATCTGGGCGTAGGGTGGGGATCCCGGGTGCCCACAGGAGACCACTGAAACGAGGGGAGACCACAAGCTTTAGAGCTGGTGAGGTGTAAACTTCGCAACACAGATGATGAAAGGAAGAACAAGAAATCACAGGAGATTGGAGGTGGGGGGTTGAGACAATTTGGGTCAGGTCATTCAATGACTGCTAATACAGTAAGAACCAACTTGAGTCAACTTTTCTGGTAGATTTTTAATTTTCCAAAAAATGGTGGGCCCTGGCCGTACCCTTCCAGAATATTTTCCACCAATTGACAGAAGGGAGGGTGGGGCAGATGGTGCTGGAGATACTCAGACAATGTGTGGAGGTCCAGTGAACTTATTGGTTTGGTCTGATTTTACCTGACTAAAACAAGGGGAAGATGAAGCAAACGGCTCTGAGGCAAATAAAACGAGCTGGCCCCGCTGGGCCATCCATGCGTTTGCTGCGTATGCAGAAGAAAACTGTGAACAGGAGAGCATGGAAAAGTTGCTTTTCTGGACTATAACTCCCAGAAACCCACACAGATTGAGGATTCTGGGTGTTGTCCAAAAAAGTTTTCCCCCACCCCCCAAACTCAGATTTGAGGTAGCAATCTGTTTGCTGTCTCTTTGTGTGACCCTACACCACCCTTCTGTTCGTTTCTCTCTCTTGGTTTTAAAAATCTTCTGAAACAACTCCTTGAACACACCCAGACCCATCTAATTTGGGTCTAGCCACCTAGAGTGGACTTATAGTCCAGATAGGCGGGATATAAATTCAATTAAAAAAAAAAAGCTGCTCTGCTTAATCTGTGGATGGGAGACCAGCAGGGATGCTGGGATGCTGGATAACTCAGTGAGATAGGCATCTGGCTGTGGAGCCAGAGGTTGGGAGTTCCAATTTTCCACCCGGAAAGAGCCAACCTGTGTAGCCTTGGGCATGTGCACCCTGGAAGAGCCAACCTGTGTAGCCTTGGGCAAGCTGCCCAGCCCCAGAAGAAGGGAATGGGAAACCACTCCTGAGACGTCTTTACTTGGAAAACCCTGAAAAAGGTCACCATAAATCAAGAACTGATTTGATGGCACACAATTATTAAACTGAGCAAAGAGGGGCCATAACTCCGCGGTCGAGCGTATGTGTTGTGTGCATATGTCCCTAGGCTGAAAGCTCAGCATTTCCAGAAGGAATCTCGCCAAAATCCTGAAGATCCACTGCTACCAATTAGAGCTGATAATTCTGGACCAGATGGATCACTCATTCGACTGACGCTTCTTACCTTCCTAGTTCTTCTGGATCAAATTACTTGAAAACAGTCATGATTGATGATGTAATCCAGAGGTTCTTTTTAAAAAGGCTCCCCGTAGGCAAATCTCTTCTGATTTGAAGGGTTCTTTCCACAAACGTAATCCTATCCACAGATTTGTAGCCCCACCATCCCCTCACACTTTTTCAACAGGTTCTTAGAAACGCTTATCGGGAACATCCTGGTGGAATATGTGAAAGGCGGGCTTTGAGAGCAAAGCAGAAATTTATCCTGGCGCTCAGCGGTGAGTGAAGGCTCTGCCAATAATTCCTCCCAAAGATGCTCAGAGAGCCAACTCTTCAGAGCTCATGCAGCGGCAAATAATTTAATAACGGATCCTTCGGGAATTACACCTAAGCTAAAAACCTGTGGGAGCAAGAACACTTTCAAGGATTATCAGTGTCCTGTGTGCCCCGATTTCTCTACAGCACTGGGATATTTTTAACTTGAAATTGCTGGAATTTAGCCATAATCTCTCTTGATGCTCCTCTTTCAAAGATATTACTCTCTCTCCACAGAAGGCCCTTTATCGGGATGGGGAGTCCTGATTTCTGCCACAGCCAACTGGTTCTTCATGGGACTTTAGCTTTGCTGATGTATTTCTTGCTCATGGCGGGGCCAGATAGTGAAATGGCTCCACTCCGGGCTAAGGAGCCAAACTCTTCTCCACTTAAAGGCTGAAATCCTGTTGCTTAGCGCAGTATGTCACACTAGAGTAAAAAGGTAAAGGTTCCCCTTGACAATTTGTCTACTCATGTCTGACTCTAGGCAGCAGTGCTCATCTCTTTTTCCAACCCATAGAGCCAGCGTTTGTCCACAGACAATCCTCTGTGGTCACGTGGCCAGTGCTATTTAGACACGGAACACTGTTACCTTCCAACCGCGGTGGTACCTATTCATCTACTTGCATTTACATGCTTTCGAACTGCTCGGTTGGCAGGAGCTGAGACAAGCGATGGGAGCTCACTCTGTCGCGTGGATTCAATCTTATGACTGCAGGTCTTCTGACCTTGCAGCACAGAGGCTTCAGCAGTTTAACCCGCAGTGCCACCACATCCCTTATTTTCCACCAAACACTTATTTTCTTCACAATCTTAATGATACCTTTCTTTATTCTTATTTTATATCCATATTAATCTGCTATACTTTGTTTTTACTTCTCTTCTCTGAGTGAATGTACTGAGACAATAAGTGCCTACTGAGGTAAACTAAGAAATAAGGGATGGTCTACTGAGGGAGGCTTGTATCTAAATCTGCTCTGCATATCCCTGCCTGAACTATTTTATTCGCTGCTTAATTGGAGGAAGTTTATCTTAATTTTTAAGCTGCACCAAATTCCTCGCACACTATGCCCTACGAGTTTCCAACCCTTGGGTCCCCAGACGGTCTTGGACTAAAACTCTCAGAAGCCTTCACCACTAGACCAGGATTTCCGGGAGTTGCAGTCCAAGAACATCTGGGGGCCCAAGGTTGAGAACCGCTGGTCTAGAAGACTAACCCAACCCTCCTCTGATGCATTGTGTGTGAGATATGGAAGACAGTATCTAGTTGCAGTCCAAGAACATCTGGGGGCCCAAGGTTGAGAACCGCTGGTCTAGAAGACTAACTCAGCCCTCCTCTGATGTATTGTGTGTGAGATATGGAAGACAGTATCTGAACTGAGTTGGTTGGCAACTTTGTTCAGTGTTTTCTGTTGGGTCCCAAGTGACAAATATGTATTCATTTTCCAGGTGAGACTTTTTTCAGCCTCACCGAAACTCTTTTTCCTTTCCTCAAAATTTCTGTGACGTTTCTGTTCAAGCAGGACTCAGCCCTCCTCTGATGTATTGTGTGTGAGATATGGAAGACAGTATCTGAACTGAGTTGGTTGGCAACTTTGTTCAGTGTTTTCTGTTGGGTCCCAAGTGACAAATATGTATTCATTTTCCAGGTGAGACTTTTTTCAGCCTCACCGAAACTCTTTTTCCTTTCCTCAAAATTTCTGTGACGTTTCTGTTCAAGCAGGAACCTTCATACGTTCAGAGACGCTTTCCTTCAGGCCAAATCTAATCTGTTGTACACTTTTGTTTTTAAAACAGTAACATTTCATGCTACTTGCCCAGTATTCCTCTTTTATAATAGCAATAGGGGATTCACTTATCAATTTCCCATGGCTCACACATGGTGGAAGGTAGCAGGTAGCATGCTGATAACATGGGGAAAAGGAAAGGTGCCAAGAACTCAAAAAGTGTTGGGTACCTTAATATTACCATGTGAAGGGGAAGGAGGAGGAACAAAGTGAACTTTAAAAAGAACGTGTTTTCAAAGGAGTGAGACTCTGGGCCATCCTCACTTTGCCCAAATATAAAGCTTCTGGGTTCCCCCAGGTAGCAAAATTTACCAATATGTTATTTTTCATATTGGTTAGCAAACTGGTTGTGCATAGCTTCTGTCTTAGGAGGAAGTCTGCAGAGATTTGAAAATCTTTTTTAAAAAAAAGATTACAACTCGCCAGGCCCACATCTAGGACAGTCAGCGGTGGATCCAAAAGTAACATTTTCAGCTGTAATCCAGAAAAATAACTTTTCCAAGCTACGGTTCTTTTTTCCAGACTGCCTCCTAATCCCATGCCTCCTTAAACCTATTAGGAATGGTTGAGACATTTTGTCCTATACAACTCAGCGAGGTAAGTCTTTGGCTGGGGAGTTAGAGGTTGGGGAGGCGATCCCTCTCAGCGTCTGCTGAGAAAAGAGCCAGCCTGGGTGGCCTTGGGCAAGCTGCGTGGTGGGCCCAGAGCACCGCCAAAAGCAAGGAGTGGTAAACCACTTCTGAATACAAACATTGCCAGAAGTCAGAATAGACTTGACAGCATATCGTTACATGTACTATTAATCTTATATGAAATCGGAATCCTGTTGCTGTTGTTAATCTTATATGAAATCTGAGTGCCAATGAGCCGACTGGAATTTAGCAATCACTGGGTGGGTTGTTAGATTAATATCAACATGCAAAGGAATGGCATTACCTCTATAAAAATAAGACAATACTAACCAGAAAGACAGAGATGGCACAATTTTTGAGTCTTCCCTAGTGGTATGTTGTTTCCAGGTTTGTTACGCATATACTTGCCCACTCCGATTTAACTTAAGAGAGGTGAGCAGGACCTCTGCCTTTAGATTCTCCCATTTTAGAAACACAGATATTTCGAAAGCTGCCCTCTGCTGAGTCTGGACCCTCCTGTCCAATATTCTCAGATCTGAGTAGCTGTCCATGGTGCTACGTCAGACTCTGTTCTAGCCCTACCTGGAGAGCCATGGCATTCTTAGGCAGGGATGTTTATATTCACCTAGGCTCCTTTTCTTCTTACTTGATTCTTCCCACAGGCAAGAAAGAACCATTTCAAAAGTTTGCTCCCTGTTGGTAAGACGATGAGATATCTTTTGGTGCCTTCCGGCTCTTTGTGAAAGATCTGCAGAAGTGTTTTCTGTGAACAGACCAACCACCGGTTTTGATAGAAAAAAACAGCCACCTCTTGTATTTCATACAGAAAGCCTTGTATGGCATCTGAACAGGATGTCTCAAGGTGCTGGGAGACTCTTTTTCATCAAGGAGGGGGAAATGCATTTGTTACATTCTTATTTCCTAGGTGGTCTCCCATTGAAGTTCCAGGCTCCCCTAACCCTACTTCACTTCCAGAGTCAGATGATATCAGGTGTGCTCAGGATGGTGGGGTTTTTTGCCATTGAAGTTCGGATACCGTGATTCCTGTGCTAGTCCTAGCATAGAAGAAAAGGAACCTAGGTGGGAAATTTCAGCCATCTAATAAAGGGAAGACATCTAATATATTCCAGATGTTGACAGTCTGCAACACTCATCATTCCTCATCAGTGCCTGCGATAGCTAGGAGTAAGGAAAATTGCGGTTCAGCATCAGAATGGGGTGGGGATAAGTTGGGTGCCAATGATCTAATAGATTCCTCAACTGAGAGCTTGGTTACATGTGTTGCACTCACCACATCAAGACAGATCCATGTGCTCCAGGCTTTGACACTGGAGAATGATGACACTGTCCATAGCCAGGCAGAAGAGTCTGTAGGTGAATATACTGGGAAGGAAGGACTAAAAGCTGACCTTCTAGAGATAATGAGTGCAGGCTACTTGATCTCTGTTTTTCACCTCTAGTGGCTTATTGTCCTTGTTCATCTCCTTCTCCAACCATTTGGAAAATCAGATGGAATGAGAACTCTCTGTCCTTCGATGTGTCAAGGGAAGCAGCAGCAAGTAAAGAGGATGCTTGCCAAAATTTAGATCTGCTAAAAGATGGACTTGAATGTACAAACATAGATGGGGAGATCAAAGTGGAGGAAGAAACTAGAGGAATAGCTACCATGGGCTTGATCCTAAACAATAGAAATGACTTGGTGGAAGTAGTGGCAGCAAGAGGAAGTCTGGGGGGAAGTGACCATGTTCTACTTGAGTTCATGATTTCAAAAGAACAAAAGCAGAGTGTAACTCCACATATGCACTGGATTTTAGGAAAGCCAATTTTAATAGGAAAGTTAAGGTCCCATGGCAGGAAATCCTAACAGGAAAAAGAATGCAGGATGGCTGGGAGTTTTCAAAAAAGGAAATTCTAAAGACATGACTACAAACAATTCCAATAAGAAAAAAAAAGTTGGAAAACAGCACAAAAGACCAATGTGGTTTCACAAAAAGCTCAGAAAACTAAAAAGGACACATGTAGGAAGTGGAAGGAAGGCCAGACTACAAAGGAAGAGTACAGAGAAGTAGCAAAGAATTGCAGGGATGGTGTTAGGCAAAAGCTGAGAATGAGCTAAGGTTAGCGAGAGATGCTAAAAGCAACAAAAAAAGTATTCTTCAGACATATGCATAGCAAAAAACACAAATGGCTCAGCTCCTCAGTGGGGATGGGAAAATGATAACAGACCAAAAGCTGAGAATGAGCTAAGGTTACCGAGAGATGCTAAAAGCAACAACAAAAAAAAAAATTCTTCAGACACATGCATAGCAAAAAACACAAATGGCTCAACTTCTCAGTGGGGATGGGAAAATGATAACAGACAACAAAGAAGTGCTCAATTCCTTCTTCAGCTTGGTCTTCTCTCAAAAGGCAATCTATGCTCCTCCAGGCAAATGAAGTACAAAGGGAGGAGAGGATTGCAGCTTGAGACTGATAAAACAATAGTCAAGGAGTACCTTACTACTTTAAATGAGTTCAAATCCCCGTGGCCAGATAAACTACACCCAGGGATATTGAAGGAACTGGCTGGAGAGATCACAGAACCACTGTCTATTATCTAGTTCTGGACACTGCACTTAAAGAAGGATGCCAGCAAACTGGAGCAAGTTCAGAGGAGGGCAACAAGAATGATCAGGGGACTGGAAACCAAGCCCTAGGAGGAAAGACTGAAAGAACTGGGTCTGTTTAGCCTTGAGAAAAGAAGATTGAGAGGAGAGAGGAGATCACTTTTCAAATACTTGAAAGACTGTCATGGACTATGGCTATTATTTCTAGAATTTGTTGTATGCTGCTGAAACTTTTTACTATTCACCTGTGTCTCTTTTTGCTGTTGTTCTTTTACTTATTTAGAGTGAAACTGTACAGTACTCATAACACACCTTTAGAAGACAAAATCATGTTCATGTTTGGAAGACATGATTTCAACAGACTTTCATTATCTGTTCTATCAGACTTTCAAAGGAAGCCTGTATTTACCTCCTGACAACCAATCACAAAACAAGGTGGGGTAATTTGCAACCTAGGGGAAGTATGAAGAGCTTCTTCTAACAGAATCAGAAAACTTCCAGCACTTAATGTTGTTCTCCATTCTCACATGCTATCTATATCGTTTGCCCATAAAAGTACATCAAGGTAGGGATCCCATAAGCTCAGGTTCATTTTAATAAATGTTCCACCATTTCCAACTGGATGGTCGAGAATATCAAAACAGTTAAGACATGATGTATTCAACCAGATTCAGGTCAAACATTCTTTTCAAAAGGGTATGTGTGCTGGATATGTTAATTAAAAAATTAAAAAAAAAAATGTGTGCGACTTGTTTACAAGTTTGGATTCTGTTTGTGGATTCCGTTCATACAATCAAGAGATTTGTAGAATCTGGATTTGTGAGAGTCTTAACTATCATCTTTAACTTTTAAAAAATCAGCATCATTGTCTTTTTACAATCTGAACTGATTTGAAGAGCAGTCAATTCCGACTGCTTCTTGACCTAGATCTATCTTTTCATCCGATAACAATTCAAATTATCCTCCTTTGTGAAAACTTAGATACTTGTCTTCAAGTGTGGCAGTTTTTGTTGTTTTTTTTGCAAAACAATATCTTCCAACTTGTTTTGGATGCTTCCCTTACACATCATCTGAGTTCACCTTGGCAAGGTTTGGAGGCTGGTTGACACATAAGGCCAATTACTTTAAATTAGGCAGCTAGAAAAATGGTGGTTGGGTGATGGGGCAGGGGTGGGAGTGGGAGCAGTCATCTCAGAGAAACATTTGCAATATTTTTTTTTATCAGTAGAGAAGTCAGCCTCTAAAGGAAATGGAGCCACTTACAATGACACACTGGGAGGGGCCGGTCCCAAGTGCCATCTCCCTGACAGGTAAGGACATGGGTGCCCAGCAGATAATACCCGTGGTTGCACAGATAAGAGACTGTTGTTCCAAAGCTGTATCTGTGAGGCCCACTCGGCTGGACTTGTCGGACGCTGTTATCCAGGTGCCCGGGGTCGGTACAGTTTACAACTGCAAGCAAATCACAGAAGGAAAAAGAGTGGGGAAAAAATGAAAAAGGAAAACAGGGTATAAGGAAGGAAAAAAAGAGATCGCTTTTTTCTTAGAAACAAAACGGGGATAGAAGGTCCAATGCTTATGTCATTGGGTTTGCCGGGCCCTCAGTGTCCCATCCTCTGATTTTCTGGACCTAAATATCTGAGACGTGACTTGAGTGATCTTTGTGATGTGAGGGAGGCGGGGCCGGCAAAGGGTGGGAGGGCGGAGCTTCCAGGCTTTGATGACCGCTGCTACCAGGGCTTGTTGTGCAGCAACAATAAGGCTTGCAGGTCATGAGGCCTGTGCTCCCCTCTCCGCTTTGCTGTGCTCCAAATGTCACAATGGACCCGATGTAGGTGCCTCAGAAACCAAGACGTGAGGGGAGAGGAGTGAGGAGAGGTCTGGTGGGTGCATGCGCTTGGGCCCATTGTATTACTTGGAGCAACAGCACGCAAACATCACACAGAGCCAATGTGCGCTGGGACCAACTGGGAATTCCCGGTGAGGGGACCAGGTTTTAAAGCCATTGAATATATATATATAAAGTGTGTCTTCCTCTGAGATTTCTCTCTCTATCTGTAGAACTGGAGAAACACAATATTTCCCTGGGAGTCCTGTCAACATTGTATGTCATACTTTTCCATAATTTGGTTTCTTTTCCATAAACCTTTCTTTCTTTTCTTTTTCTTTTTCTTTTATTTTCTTTTTACAGTAGTATGTATGACTAACTAACTAACTATAAAGGTAACTTGTGACCGAAGCAAGGGAACCTCACCCAAAACGTTTGGGGTTGAGGTGCCCCCGCTTGGTTCATGAGTCACTGATGACTAACTACAATGAAAATTCAAGAAAATTAAACCAATGGACCAGTAAACCACTGGGGAAAGAGGCCCTGATCCTGAAAAGGACAGGCGCTTACCCTGGACTTCGGTTGTGTTTCTGGTCTGACCTCGCCACCAACAAACAAATGTAAGAGTTGTCCACAGTTAGGCATGCTGGTGGCTTCTCTCAGGGCTATGGAAAGTAGGGTTACACAGAGGGAGGTGTGCTAGAAGTGGGGGAGGGCAGAAAGGAGGGAACTTGAGAAGTGAACTTTGAGCATTTACTCTGTTTTTTGTTTTAAAAGCTCGTTCTCCACCTGTTTCCCTGAAAGAGGATTCCAAGTGGCCAATGGGAAACAGCAAAACTAAACATAAGTTTAGTAACCCAGATAAAACAACAAGAATAAACTTACAAGAAACAGCAGTTAATCCTAAGGGCTAAACAATATTCAGAGGTGATTAAAGCCAGAGCTTGGTTCTCTTCCTGGACTACAAATGCCAGAATTCCCTTGCCAACATGCTTGCTAAGGGGCATCTGAGAAGTGTAGTCAAAGGAGGAACTTTCTTACAGAGCCATATTTTTACATACAGTAGGACTTCCCTATCCGTGGGATCAGTATTGACTGATTCATTTATACAGTAAACGATCCACCATGGATATCGTTGTCCTACTGTACCGTTTAAAAGAACACCATATCAGAGTCTGAGCAATTTCTGTTGGCAGAGTATTCCACGAAGTAGGTGCATCCACCAAACAAGATCTTGACCTGGTGGCTCCACATCTGGCTTCTTGAGGCCAGGGCATCAGAAGAGGTGCCTCAGATAGCAGCTGTGGTATGTGGGGAGGAATTTATGGAGGAAGGAGGTCTTCAACTGCTTTAAAAAGGCCATTTTGAATGGAGGTCAGCAGCCAATGCAGTTCGGCTATGATCAGTGTAAACTGGCAACCTAGCCATTTTGAATGGAGGCCAGCAGCCAGTGCAGCTTGGCTATGATCAGTGTAAACTGGCAACCTAGCTCCTGATTGCTGTGTTTATGATGCTAAACGCAATAGTACATCCCGGCAGGTTCGAGGGCTTTTAGGCAGGGACCAGCTTGTGACTCCCTCTCTCTTTCATCCTGGGTGACATGACTCTTACAAGTTCTATCTATTTCTCCATTTTTGCAACCCTCCGTTTCAGCCAATGTCCCTCAAGGCGAAATGATTCAAAGTTCAATAAAACAAGGAAACCTATCAGGGAAAACAGCAGCAAAAAAGTAACATTTAGTACAAACTGGCAAGGTTCTGGCAGATTTTGCGAAGTCGTAGCTTGGGTCCTGGCATTGACCTCTGAAGGGCTGTGTGTGTGTTGTGGTCATTCACTAGAAGATGGTGTCAGAGACACAGAGGGTTCCGTAAAAAGTGGCAGTAATTATCTAATTCTTGATAGCCACTAGAAGCTGGTGTCAGAGAAGTGGCAGTAATTATCTAATTCTTGATAGAAAGTATAAATTATGCCACATGGCATCAACTTTAAACAAAACACATTTTCATTTCAGCCCGTTTCTAAATCCTGCGTTTGCTTTTTATAATGACCCTGTGCAAAATCTGTGGTAGAAACACAATGTTTCACAAAATAGGCTTTGCACAATGTGGAATCATAAAATCTTAAAATATGCTCTTGCTTTCTATCGTCACCTTCAGAAGGACCATGTCCTTCTCTGCTCTTTTACAATTCCCCCGTCTCCTTTGTGCCACAGCCAGGTAGCCCCTGCTCCTTTTCATCTGGCAGGCGTTGCATTAAAGTGCATTAACTGAACGAGCTGTTTGGCTGGCCAACTTTGAGCTCAAGTCACAGCTTACCATGAATTATATGAAAATGAACTATTCCCATCTGCAAACACTTGCTGTTAATATAAAACTCTGGCTTTCACCTTGCTGAGATGCAATCAAGAAAGGCTCTTTCCCTCCCTTGAGCTGTTTCTTTCCCTTTCATCATTAGAAATCATTATTATTAGTTTTGAAATGACAAAAAGCTATGCATTCATGGAAAGCCCTTATTCATTTTTTTCTCCCTCTCTAATTATTTTGTTCTTATGACCATCCGGCCTGTGGCTGAAAGTAAGCTTGGACAGTATTTCCCGCATTTATTCTGCATCACACAGCAGTTGAAATATCATAATTTTTCCCCTGTTTATAGCCTTCCTATCAGCTCCCTCTCATTCTTCCAAAAACTGATATTGAAAAGAAGGGGATCTGTTAATAACTGCTGTGGTGGCATTTTCCTCATTCCGTTTTCTTCTGGAGTAGAAAGGAAACTGTTAAAAGGTGTAGAGTGTCAAACTTGAGGATAGGCAAAAACCTGCCGTTCAGGTCTGAGAGTGGGAGAGAGAGAGAGAGAGAGAGAGAGAAGGAGATCCAAGGGATGACTTACTGCGTCAAATGGGCAGGATGTTGCTCCACTGGCCATTTGCCAGGCACTGCGACTTGGATGCCCCTTCCAGGCGGTACCCGGTGTTGCATACGAATTTGGCCACGTCGTTCAGGTTAAACTGGCTCCCTTGCGTAAGGCCGTTCACTGGATTGCCTGGGTGGCCACAGGTTATGGCTGTAGCGAGAAAGCTGAGAGGTTACTTCTCCAGGTTGCTTTGCTGCCTGGTGGATGTACGAGTGCATTGACGTGGGGAGCAGGAGGGAAGCCTGGCAATGGGTCAACCCTCCTCAGGCATAAGAACTTGCTTTCATGCAGTGGCTGATTTCTTTCCACATCATCCTGTCAAAACCCTTTAGCACTTCATAAGAGGTACATGAGGTACATCCCTTCCTCTCATGCCAGGTGTACTCCTTTTGAAGTGCTACCACAAAATAGAACTCAGCAAGACATGGCTCTCCTAGGTGGGCTTCCGCTGCAGCAATTTTTCAGGAGAACACAACATTGTTTAAATGTACATGGGGAGGACTGCACTCATTTATTTAGCATTTAGTTTAAATCTACCTCTTTTTTGTGTGTGGTTTTCTAAATATATTTTAAAGATGAGAACAAAATAGCAACATTGATCCTCTGGGCTTGGAATTCTATTGTTGTTCACACAAGACTTCTATAACTTGCTATAGCTAATTGTGGATAATTCATGAGATGCCATCTTGGTTGCGCAATCAGGTGTGTGACCAGGACACATGACTGAAATGTTTCTTGGCACCGTGGGGATTCGCCACAACCAGCTATGATGCGCTATGCAAATACCAACGGAATAGAGGCTAGGGAGGTAAGGAAGCATGGCCAAACTGAGTTGCTAGGCTTCCAGCTCTCTCAGATAACCCCTTCCAGTCAATCGGTCAACACTCACATGAAGAGGAAAGCATCTGAGTCTGGTACCCTACATTTCTGTTGTGGTCCCCTATCAGTTCCATCTCGGCTCTGCTAACCACAGAGCTCTCTACATTAGTCCGGACTTTCTCCCCCTTAAGATTTGTCACCCTCCCCATGAAACAATGGATGGAGGGTGTGTAGCTAAAGTGGTCTACTCTACACATGAGTCTTCCACATGATTTTCAACCACCGAATTGGACTGTACTGTCCATTTCTTCCACAATTGATAATACAAAGTGATACATGCAATTCCACATTGCCATGGACTTGTCTAACAGCCACTTAGATGATAGTTGGTTAAGGGTTTCACAGAGCAGATTATTTCTCTGGGTTTTCCAGGCGTGGGTGGATGCTCCTCAACCCTTCTTGGGCAGCTGCAGAAATGAACCACTTCCAAACGGGAAACAAATAATTCATTTCTAGATTCAGTGGGACGGACGGGTGATCAAAATTTAAACGAAATGGTCTATGTGCTCCCCACCTCTGCATCTCCAAACGGGAAGCAAATAATTCATTTCTAGATTCAGTGGGATGGACGGGTGATCAAAATTTAAACGAAATGGGAAGTGTGAACTAGACATAGCAATGTGGCAAACAGACCCTGTGTATTGCAGTATTTCAGGCTGGAGACCAACACGGTGGCTGAGTTAGAGAAAGTTGAGGCGGATGTCTTACGGTCTGGGAAGGGTATCAGAGGAGATTTTTATACTAGCATATCTGTGATGCTTGATTAGACAAAGGCATAATTCCACAGATGTTCAGTAAAACACATTCCTGGAGAGACATGTAGCCTTAAGGCCCTATTGTGATAACATGCTCCATTTCGAGAAAACTAAGGCTATGGATGAAGCATTACAAAGATATGAGAAGTCTCGCCACAGCACACATCATATCTGTCCGCCATGGGGGCACTTGCTTTTCGACTCTTTTCCCTTTCTTTAATGGCAGCACTGGGAAACAGTAATAAGAAGAGATGGAAACCATCCAAAGTGGAGGCAGAGTATCTTTTGAGAAAAGGAAAAGTGGTCTGAAGCTGGAAAGCATTCTCTATAATGCCATGAAGGGCTTCACAAAGGAACTCTCTTTGCTTTCTTTGAATTGGATTGTTTCTTTCTTTGGATTGTTTTTTTAAAATACTTTTTGGACAAATACAGTAGATGGTAATGAAAGGAGATGAAAATGGGGCCGACATGTTTCTGAAGCGCAACTGAGGGTGTGATCACATGGGGAAATAGATCACAATTCGGACCACTTGTGGAACCATGTACTCAAATCTATTTCCAGGAGATCACAAGATGTACAGGGAAATGCGCTCCATTCCAAGCAGGATCTAGGCCTAAGCTTGAGTTTCTGGGGCTTCTCCTTTTTTTGGTGTTGTTGGCTGGTGCAATTTCCAGGCAGATGGAAGGGTCACTTTAAGGGAAATTCCCTTGCCTCACTCCTGAGACAGACCGTGGTTGAGGGAAGAAGGTTCTCTCCTGAGTTCTTAACAATTTCTGAAATGCACAGGAGCGGATAGAGGTGTGTGACCGCAGAAAGGCCACAAAGAAAAACTTGAATCTCTCTCTTTTACACATCTAAAATGGAATGTGGCTCTTTTTTGGAAGGTGGTTTTTTTGTCTGTTTGTTTCCAAAGGTGCTGCTGAAAGATAGAGGCCTGGTGACTGACGTGGCTTTATATTAAAAATAAGAAGGTACGCATTCCTGCTTGCTATGTTTCCCTTGAATATTTATAAAAGCTGCAAAGTTGGAAGCCATAATAAAGATAGGAACATACTTACGCACACAGACAGGCGTCTTCCCAGACCAGCGGTGGTCCTGCTGGCAGATCCGCACCGACATCCCGATGAGACGAAAGCCAGGGTTGCACTGATAGACCACGCTGCCCCGGTAGTTGTAGTTCTCGCCGTTGATCTGACCATTGACGATTGGACCTGGTTCACCGCAATGACCCGCTGGATGGAGACCAAACCAAGAAACCTAAAAATGGGTTTCCCCAAAGTCCAATACATCCCTTTCACGTGAGCTGTGAATTGTGAACAAAGTGAATGTGCCCCAGGATGGGCAGGGGTCTCTACGCGTGCAGGCCTGGATGCATTAAAACCCCCTCCTGCTTCTCAGACCAGAGGCAGGCAGGCCACTTATCTCCCTGGGCTGAGCTTCATTTGTGCATGTGTGCAACTAGTGTTAATATATGTGTAACTAAAGGCTTTTCCAGACTGGATGTTTGGTCTACCTTCCCGTTCTGCCACTTTGTTGCTGAAAAACAACAGCATTCGCCAGAATCTGTGCCCAAACTTTTCACCTAAGATCAATCTCTTCTCTCCATCTTGTGTTTCCCAGGGGAAAAGAGGAAGTGGCCCATGCCCTTTATGGTCTTAACATTCAGGAATCCATGTAAAGTCAGCTGGAAATAGGTGGAGATGCTTGACAAGGAGTCAAATGGTGTCTACTCCCATAATTTGGCAAGAGAGTCCCCCAGGCTGAATTAAGAGTGTGACAGCCCTCAAACCGGTAAGAGGTAGAGTAGACCCTCTCACCTCCAGGCTGTGCACACCTTCATCTTCCATTGGTAAGCCAATTTGAGGGCCTTCACTTCCATAATTTGGCTCGAGGGAGTGGTTCTCAATCATTACTGGAGTGGGAATCCTTTAATTCTGAAATCACTCACTCGCTTAAAAGCTTAGGAAATTCCTTGAGACTTTAGCTCGAAATCTGAGACTTCATAAACCTACCAAGTTGGATCCTGGGCTGTTTGGAAGGCCTATCAAACTACTCTATGCTCACAAGCCGAAAGGATTCATATAAGATATTACTTGAAACACCCACCTAGGCACTTCACTTCCAGTCCACTCCAGAGACCATTTGCCATGCATTCCCGTACACGGGAGCCCACCAGCGTGTAACCAGTATTGCAGGAGAAGATAGCAGTAGCACCATAAATGGTCAGTGTCCCAATCTTGTTCCCATTGGGTGGCACCGGCAGGTCTCCACAGGAGATGACTACAAAGAGAAAAAAAAGATGAAGCAAACCACACAGACACACTGCAAGCACAGAAGGACCCGCTGATTGTTCAAAAAGATACAGACAACCTCTTTCATGCTTCTGAGAAGCTGCTGCAATGAGACAGCAGCCATTGTTGTGTTACATAATCTGTGCTGCTGCATTATTTGTACAATTTTGCTGTCTGGTAGGGATGGGATTCTCAGATTATTTGAACTACAGAGTTTATAATTTCTACATGACAGACACTTAAATTTGGCTCACCTGGGAGAAAAGGCCTAAACTGGAAAGCTCCAAGGTTGAGCTAGGCCTAGCTTCACCCAAGCTTCCTGTTCCTTCCCCAGTGCTAGCTGGGACTTTTCTTTCTAAACAGGAAGCTTGTTTATAGCTAGGCCTAGCTCAGCCTCAGAGCCTTCCAGGTTAGGCTTTTTTCCCCAGCTGTGCCAAATCTAGATGTCTGTAAGGTATTTAGTCAGACAGAACTCATAGAATGCAAAATTATGGGATTTGTAGTCCAAGAAATAAGAAAATTCAACCCATATTAACTGGTGCAGGAAAATCATTCCCATCACAAAATACCTCACTTGTTTGAAGACAAGAACAATCTTCCTCATATGTGAGGGTGAGGCAAGTGAGGATTTATATCTCTAGAACAGAATCACTGAATTAACTGTGAAATGGTAATTCAACACTTAATTCCTGTCGACTCAATGGGTTTATTCCAGTGGGGATAAGTAATTGGATTGGTGTTGTGATAATTTGGTGGAGCAATGTTGTTCATATATTGCTTTTAAGAAGTATTGCTACTTTTTTTCTGTATTCCATTTATCTTAACAGCCTTAGAATGGGTCCATTTCCTGAGATTCATTTGAAGACTAAAACGAAAAGCGAGTTTATTAACCTGACCACTAAAATAAAACTGAGAAATTGGGAAAGCTAGATTTTTTTAAAAAGTGTTTTTGTAACAGGGGAAAAGGATTGTTTTCTCCAAAGCCATGCTCTTTTTTCTTTTTTTAAGTGACAATGGAGAAAACAACAACTCCTCCAAACGCTAAGGCAGAAACTCAACACCCGGGTGAGGAATTACAAGACAGCTGTCAAGGATTTTGCTCTTGTTATCTTGGTGTGTGGGGATATGTGACAGATGAAACTCCTTGGTTTGTTGTTAAAGCAATCACTGGTTTCCTCAGCACACAAAGATGCCCCCCCGGGCTGTTTTTCATGAACCCCTGTGAAAAGCAGAAAAGCACCTGCCTGTTTAGAAAGTCTTGCTACTCGAGATGGGCACGAACTGTCAGTTTGGTGGTTCGTTCCGGTTCGTTTTTCATCTGAACAGGCAGCGCCCCTGCTTCCCTGCCCTGCCTCCTTCAGGTGTGGCCTCTGAGTGGGTGCCCGCAGGAGCAGGCAGGGCGGGGAAACATGAAACACCTATTTGGACAAAAAACGAACCAACGCGAATCGCTGAATCAATGACTCATGCCCATCTCTAGCTGCTACCAACAAAGTCCTCATAGAGGCAGTCTCCCATTAGAACTCTTATCTTCCATGCACCTCGACAAAGCGCAGGCCATCCTTGCAACTAGCAATGGTGCCTGCTGTGATTTTCAGAGGGAAGAAAGGACCAACATGAGGCGAGAGGTCAGAGGGCTCCTCTACCTCTTGCTCTTTTGATGGCTCTCAATCCTAGAATATGGCTTGGTGTTGGGGGTCCCATCAAACTATAGCCCCAAGAATTCCATTTCTCCATGAAAGTCCCATGCATATTACTTCCACATTGAAAAATCTGCAAAACACACTTAAAGGGGATTTATGCCCGGCATCTAAGAGGGACTCAATGAATCTTTATGAAAAGTCTACCTGATGAGGCTGGTCTTTAATTGTCCCCAAAAAGATAGGAGGGAAAGGGCCAATTTCCCAAGGGAAAGCATTCCAGAACATGGGGACAAGCCACAGAGAAGGCCCTCTCTCGTGTCCCTGTCAGGTGCCCCTATTGGTGCCCCTATTGACAATGTTTGCATTATGTATTCATAGCATTTACAATGGCGAGCTTTAAAGCAAATGCGTTTTTCTCTTCTGCCTCTCTAACATCCAAATTTGGGCCATCTCTGGCTTCCTTTTTCTGGCTCAGTCAGAGTGCAATGTGAAGGTGGCAACTTACTTCTGCATGTTGGCATAGGCTCCCCTATGCTCCACTTCCCATTGGCTTGGCAATGGATGACGCGATGCCCGGTGTAGTAGTAGCCAGGGTCGCAGATCAGCATAAGCTGGGCGCTATATTGATACTGGGTCTCGTAGATCAGCCTCCATCGACCGTGTGCCACGGCAATGGAGCTGATGTCAGGGCAGCTGACAGCTGAGCACCAGCCAAGAGAAAAAAAACAAAAATGTATTATATGTGAGAGCACATCCGTCTAGATGAAGGGTTAGAAACCTTAGTTTCTGGGACCTGTTACAGCCTTTCTGGGGGCTACATGTCGCCCTCTGTAACAAGGATCCAGAAAACGCTTGTTACTTTTCTCCTCCACTTTGAAAATGATTGCTTCAGGATTTTTTTTTTTAAAAAATAGTGAAGTACATTGTAAAAAAAAAATCAGGCATAAAACTACTATAACTTGGCCCAGTGGGAGAAAACTTTTGAAGTTTTTCATTCTCACTTGTAAGGACCAAGTAAACAAAGTAATCTAACATCCACACTCTGCAGATCCTCACAAACTGTTTCCCCGACATGACAATTTCTAGTCTCCTAATTTAAAAAAAAATTAATGTATTTATTATTTTTAAAAATTAGGGATAAGGCAAGGAGTTCAAAAGGTAGAGGGAATATGGGGGGGGGAAGAGGGGGAGAGAACACAACATGTACTGTCATCAGATCTGTTTGTTCACGTTGCAATATCAAGTCGACTTTCCACCTTTCTACAATTTGATTGTCCACCAGGTTTCAACTCACAGTTACATCTTAGTTTAATTCTATGTTATTTAAGCACTATCTCCCAACTTTTATCAGGGTTTCCCCCAAACCCAATAGTAAAGCACCTCTCTAAAGCATTAGTCATTGGCAGTTAAGAGGTCAAAGTTAAAATATGGGGCATATTTGGCCCCACCCTCTATGAGAAGGAGATCTTTCTAGGAACCAGAATTTGAATTTGGCTCCTGGGTGAGAACAACAATTAGTTTTAGCCACAACTTCCATATTTTGGGACAATGCCTGAAATCCTGTTGAGTGCACTCAGACTGTGCAATAGGAAGGATGTCATCATCAGTTTCAAATTGCCACTGATTAAAGACTTCCTTTTTCAGCTGCAGGGTGTACATGATTCTGTTCCATTGTGCGGAAACTGTGTGCATGCTGAAATTGAAAAAAAAAACATTTTTAAGCAGTGGCAATCTGCCGCTGTGACTTCATTCACTTTGTGTAAGCAGAGCTGTGGAAGAGGACTTGGGCTAGTGTACCTCTGGACGCCAAATATTGGGCATGTGCTACAGGGAAAGGTTTCATGCTCTTGTCTCAATCCTTTCCGGAGGCACCAGATTCCGCACATGGAAACAGATGGACTTCTACTCTGATCAGCAGGCCTCTTGCTACCTCCTTGGATGGTTCTGGATATTCATTTAGGAAAACGTGTTGCTGTTCTACAGGGAAACAAAATGCAAAGGAACCGAAAGAACCAAAGGTGGTCCAGGCCACTTACCCGCACACGGAAGAGGGTTATTCCCATTACTCCACTGGCCGTTGGAAAGGCACTCAATGGTGGAACTGTTCTGGCCCTGAAGGTGGAAGCCTTCCTTGCACTGGTAGACCGCTTTGGTGCCCACGGTGTACTCCTTGCCAAAAACAACCCCGTTCTTCGGGGCCCTCGGAACGCCGCAGGAAATAGCTGTGGGGGGCGAAATAAGGAGATGCGCTATGACGTGCATCTTACAGAAGGTCTTCACCTCTCTGGCAGGTTTTTCTGTACTCCCATAACAGCGTGTTTTGGTCACCCATGGCCTCTCCTACCCAGTGGACAGAAGTATAGGCTTGAGGTGCTCTTTGGGATAACACTTAGTTCTTCCTTTCCTCTTGCAGTCCTCGTTTGCCAGCCGAGACGGCGGAGCTACTTTTGCAATTGGTGGGGAGAGTGGGAAGCTGGCGGTACAGCAAAGCTTGAGTGGACAGGCTGGTTCCAAGGGTCAGACCTGCATTAGGCGCACCTGGAACGGGGATATTTGTATTTGTTTACGAATATCCCCGTCTCTAAGTAGTTAGTTTAGATTTGGGTTTCTTTGGTTGTTTGGTTGTTGTTTTAATTTTGATTATTATGGAATTTTAGGTTGTAAGACTGTAAACTGCCCAGAGTTGTGTCCTGGCCACTAGATGGGCAGGGTAAAATTTTAAATAAATAAATGAATAAATTGTGAAAGAAATACTCCATACTCTCAGTGAGAACCTGTGTGGGGTGGTGAATGGAGCATCAGACTAGGAGCCAGGAGGTCTGGGTTCAAATCCCCACTCAGCCATAGAAACTCACTGGGGGATGGCAGTAGCGCAATCACCCCTTACATATCTCATAAATCTCACCAAGGTTGCCTTCAGTCAGAATCAGCTTAAAAGCACAGAAGTCAAAACTAGAGATGGGCATGAATCATTGGTTCGGTGGTTCGTGCTGGTTCAGTGGATAGCTGAACGGGTGTTCTGCAGCTCTGTGTCCCGCCCCCATCCAGACAGCATCCAATCAGAGGTGGTACCCGGAGGAAGCAGGGCAGGGAAGCCGGGATGCTGTTTCTGAGTGGACGCCCGCCGGAAGTGACAGGGTGCTGAACCACAGAACACCTGTTTGGCTGTCCACCGAACTGGCTGGTTGTGGCCATCTCTACTCAACACCCATGAACGGAATGAAGTCGGATCTTTGCTGAGAACTCGGACGTGAAGATTGCTGTGACCCAGCAGTCGTCAAGCCACCGAGGAAGGCAGACATGCAGAATGGAAGGCAACTGACGGCTTGTGCTCTATCCGGCCACAGCTTCCTCCCTGAGTCGCTGTTCTTCATTTTGTGCACGTCAGCAAAGCTGTACTTGCATCTCATGTGGCTGAACTCTGGTTGAACTCTGTCCTACCATTCAGGAGGGATGGGATCAGAATTGCTAATTTGGCGTGTCTGAATCCTCGAAAGCTGACACTGCTGATGAATGCTGCTGGTGATGTGCAGAAGTGACTTGGCCAGAAAGGTCCCCCCAAAGGTAAAATATTTGAACATCGCTGGGCTACAGGAAGAATTCTGTCAGTCAGTAGAGTTAACTCTATACCAATTCATGCAGCCCACCCATAATTTGGAAATTATGATGCTGAGAGTTAGGGATCTGGTTGCGGAGCCAGAGGTTGAGAATTTGATTCCCCACGAGATAAGTCTTGGGCAAGCTGCACAGTCCCAGGGCGCCTTGAGAGAAAGGGAATGATGAACCACTTCTGTGTACTCTCTACTTCGAATCCCCTGGGAAGGGTTGCCATAAGTCAGAATTGATTTGAAGGGGCGCAATTGTTATTCTTATGCTACTCAAACTGTAACATTGGGAGTCAGGTTAGAGACAAATGCAGTGGTCGGGACATCCCACCCCTCAGATCCATAACCTGCTGCATTAAAAAAAATTAACAATTTTGCAGCAGGATGGAGCGAAAGTCCTGTCTCAAATTTACTACCTTCTTTTGCCTGCGAACAGGGGTTTGGGTTCTGTTTTGTAGCACTAAGGGGATATGGAAGAAGAATAGCTAACAACTATGTTTGGCAGGGGGTAACACTTTTTAGTTTTCAAAATACAGTAGGACCCCCCCTCCCCTTATCCATGGGATCCGTATCCATTGATTCACTTATCCACAGTCTGAAAATATTAAGAATATTAAAAGAAAAATCCTAGAAATACATACTTGTAAAGATGAAATTACCAGAACTGGCCATTACAAAAAGCCAGGGACCATGGTATGTATAGTGTTGACTACTAAAATGTATTTGCTATAATCCATGTTTGCCTGCCCGCCCGTCCGCCCACGCGCCCACCCACCCACTTGTTAAAGCTTGCATGAACATGCTAGTGTTAGGAAAAATTAGCAGACAGTAGTGCCATTTAAGGAAGGAAGGAAGGAAGGAAGGAAGGAAGGAAGGAAAAGAAAAGAAAAGAAAAGAAAAGAAAAGAACCTCCCAACTAGAATCATAGGCCTCTCTGCTCTCTTTGGAACCCTTTTCCTCTCTCCCCTTCCAATTTGCTTTGCAGGCTCGAAAGAAATCAGCCTTGCCGCCTGCAATGCAGGTGAATTCCACAAACTAAATAAAAGGAGACAGCTCTATTCCCAAGTATTTTTTCTCAAAAAGTGTTGTGGCGGCAGCTCTCGTGTGTTTCAGGCTCTAAGCTCAAAGGCAAAGCAAGGGAAGAAGAGAAGCCAAGCTCACTACGTAAGCTGGAATGCGATACCTAGACCTGGGCGTTGGAGTGCTGCCTCTGGAGGGGGCATATAGCCATTTTGGCTCCTAGCCCCTGGCACCTCCCGCCCTCATCAGTGCCTCTGGTCATTTTGAAAAGCCTTCCAAATTGGACCGGTGGGCCATTGGACAACGGGCGGCGTGAGTCGTATGATTAAAGAAATCGAGCTGCATTCAAGGCCAAAGGGGCAGTTTTTGAGAAAAGGACAAAAGGGAATAGGTAGGCATGGAGAGGTTAAGAACAATTTTAGTAAAAGCCACGCTCGTCTGTCCGAGGGGCAGGTTTTTTTTTGCCCCCTCCCAATCCTATTTGTATCCACTATTTAAAGAGACACAGACAAATATACGGTGTTGTCATCATGGTACATGATAATGCACACATTATACTAGCGTACCACTAGGCAGCATTACGCCTAAATCCTGGGAAAACTCCCTGCAGAGGGTCTTAGTAACAGCGGTTGGGAATGGAGGGAAGCAGACTCCGAACTTGCAGCGGGGCCTTCTGACTCACACATGCGCACAAAAGGAGTGATGCTGAAGCTTCCGAGTTAGGAAGAAACGGAAGCCACAGATGGGAGAGAAAAAAAAGAGGGGAGTCTTGTGTAAACGGATCCAGCTGGCTGGCGTGAGTGTCATCGGTTGCATTCTGGCTTTGCAGTGATAATTGTGTGCATGTCATCCAGGCCTCTAAGGAGCTCGGCAAATCCTCTGGCAAGGCCGGGTGTCTAGACGGTGAGTTGCGATGAATACCAATTCCACATGCCGGCAGCGGTAGCTGTGGCGGCAAGCAGGGGAAAAAAGTACGCCTGTGAAAACCCTCACCCCTTCTGGCTCTGGCTCCATAATCTCTTTAACCTTCCCGTGTTATCCAGTCAAAACCATCAAGAGGGCCTGTCCCATAGCTTGCCCTTTGCCCTTCAATCGCCTGCTATGGCGTAAAATCCCTTTTCTTTGTGATCCTTCCAGCTCTCTGCATTTTGGGCCTTTTCTTGCAGGGTCTGCTTATCCGGTGCACACCATGCCTGCAAACTACCCAGGGCTTAAAATCAACACGGAGTGTTCTTTTTCCTCTCTGCTCAGCAGATGGAGAGAACTGCAGAGAGCCTGGATCATTTTGGATGCATTCACAGAAGTATAGTCTCCAAATCTGATGGGGTAATAGTACCCCTCTATTCAACACTGGTTAGGCCTCACCTAGAGTATTGTGTCCAGTTCTGGATGCCAGACTTTGAGAAGGATGCCAGCAAACTGGAGCAAGTTCAGAAGAGGGCAACAAAGATGGTTAGGGGGACTGGAAACCAAGCCTTAGGAGAGAAGACTGAAAGAAATGGGCACGTATTGTCTTGAGAAACTTTTTCATACGATAGCACTTTTCAAATACTGTATTTGAAAGGTAGGCATCCAGAGGAGGGACAGGATCTGTTCTCTAGCATCCCAGAATGCAGGATATGTAATGATGGGCTCAAGCACCAGGAAGACAGATTACGGTTAAATATCAGTAAAAATACTTATCAACTGTTAGAGCAGTACAACAGTGGAAGGCATGACCTTGGGAAGTGCTGAGGTCTTCAGTGCTGGGGGCCTTAAAGAGAAAGCTGGACCACCTTCTGGTGGTGTAACAGAAAGGGAGTGTGCTCCTTGGGGAATGAACACACTTTGGATTTTTTTGTTTATAAAGAGCTTATTACTCATAATTTCATAGGAGCTGTCATTATGAGCAATAGAAAAAGAGAAGGAAATACTCTCTGGTTCCCTCTACTGACTGATTTTGATACTGTACCTTGATAAAGTCTGATGTTTTTTGATGAAGCAAAACAATACTTCCCTTACAGTTAGGATTCGTATGAGAACGGCATAAAATGTAACATTCCTCTCAAAATACATCTCAGAAAGTCTTTTTAAAGTCTTTTTAAATGCCCTTAAAAAGTACCTTCAGAAAGTAAATAAAAAACATTACTTGTGAGACCAATAAGTAACTTTGTAACCTATTTTTGCATAGTATAACGATTGTGTTTCAGATGTCACTAATGTAAATCCTCATTACCATAAAAAGCAAGTTACAGGGAATGGCATTACTAAATAACCCAGAGTTTAGTTAAATAAATAAATAATCCAGGGTTGCTGTGTTGTTGTTGTTGTTTTTTTTTTTTGCAAGATCCAGCAATGTACAACAGAAAGCTGTGAGCATTCACCAGGCCCGGAGAGGCACATGCGCATAAACACACAATCAAGAATGAGAAGCAGAGAACATTTTTCTCGTGTTTCCTTTTACAATGCCTCAAGGCTTAATACACTCAGCCCCAGTTCTCATTTCTGCAGATATTTGGCAGAGATTTTTGAAATGTTAACTTGTCTCTGGTGACAGTTTGCTTCTATTAATTTTCAATACTTTTGTCATTTCATCGTAGCTAGAACAAAACTAGTTA